ACACACACACAGAGCGTGCTTTGCTCGCCACGCACGCGCACCCAGCGTGCTTTGCTCGCCACGCACGCGCACATACTGCTTTGCCCACCACCCGCGCCCACACACTGTGCTCTGCCCACCCCCGCACGCACGCACAGAGTGTGCTTTTCTCACCTCGGGTGCGCGCGCGCACGCGCGCACACACACACACACACACACACACACACACTCACACTCACTATGTGCTTTGCTCACTCTGCATGCGTGCGCTCATGCGCACACACAGAGCGTGTGTTTTGCCCCCCCCCACACATGCTCTGTGTGCCGGCATGGCCCTGTGCTCCTACAGTCCAGCAATGCAGCCGGAGGCCACATGGTACTGGAGGCAGCAGCCTGCAGGGAAACCAGCTGCAAAGAGATGTGGTAGGTAGTCAGGGGTCCCATCCAGCTGGCCTCTCTCCTGACTCCTGCTGGCTCCCCTGGGGTCCTACTGCCCCTGACTCCTGTCATCTTTGGTAGGCAGCCAGAACCAGATTAATATTAATTTTTGAAACTTCTTAGGTGCCCTGCAGCCCAGATAGAATGGTTTGGTGTGCCGGACTTGGCCTACACCTGCTTTACAGGATATGGAACCAACTTCCAGGGGAAGTGGTGATGGCTCCTACTTTGGGGGGTTTTAATAGGAGGCTCGACATTTACCTGGCTGAGGTCATTTGAGCCCTGTTTTCTCTCCTGCCCAGGGCAGGGGGTCGGACTAGAAGATCTACAAGGTCCCTTCCGACCCTACATCTATTTATCTTTGTATCTATTTAAAAACACTTCTACATTTAGAGAAATACCCCCACAATATTTCAAATCCCTTTTCTCCAAGCCATCAAGTCCCTGAACCTTCTTTATGAAATAAGTGTGAGAAGCCAATGTTTCTGTTTTTCCCCAATTCCCTGTAATGGCTGAACCACTTCTGCTGCAGCTTTGCAAAAATTTCAATACAACGGTGACATATAACATGGGGAAGTTGAACCTAAACAGTGGATGCTTGGTTTAGTTACAAATAAAGGAAGATTCTATAAAAGGAAGCTTTGGCCAACTTTAACAAGCCACGCAGTTCCACCTAGACATCTTCAATCTTTACTTAATTTGTTTTATATAACTCCAAAACGGGCATATGTATATAAAACCCAGGAAGATCCATGTTATATACCAAAGTAGTAAGTTTTATGGTGTGTAACCTTTCATAAAAACAAAACAAAATCCTACACTAAGCTTCACTGACAGATACACGGATACTAAGAAAACTAGCAGAGAAATTGCAAAGCTTAACTGAAGAACTTTGCTTGGAATAAAAAAAAAGCAGTCTTCACCTCTTGGTCTGAAGTTCTATTGCATTTATCAAAATAACTTTTTTGCTCTGACATTTGGTAATGAAATTATTGACCTTCAGAACTTCCATATTCATTGGCCAAATACAGCAGTGTAATGAAAAAGTAGTCTCTCTACCAAAATCAGAAATATTACAGATATATTCTTGTATCTCAGGATAAGCTACTTTCTTAACTATTTTACCTTTCTAAACAGCCCACAGCATAGCATTTTTTCCCCAAACCCACATCTTAAAAAGTTTTATATTTGTCTTCAGAATACCACAAGTCTTAAACAAAAACCTTCATAAGTCATATCTTGTGCTACCATAAAATCATTAAATAGGAAACTTTTCCATTATGATTATTTAAACCAAATTATGATTTACAGATATTATTCACTCACCATCTCCAGCAGGTAGTCCTCGCTCTTTTTTCTCATCACATTTGTTGCATTCACTGAAGTAAAGCAGTAGAAACATATCCAGAAGGACCCAAACCAATGAGGTGGCAAGGACCACCTTGCAATATGCAAATTTTCTCATGGCACTTTAAGTCAAATACAAGAATAAAAAAACATAAATAGAAAAAAGTCAACAAGACTGCTCCAATCCAGTTTGAGACCACGTTCTGTATCTGAAAAACAAAACAAAGAACAGAAATTACAAAAAACTCCAAACATCAACTAAAAGACAGAATTATGTTTTAAGCTAATGAATGTAAAATAATAATTTTTAAATTTATATAATGGTCCAAAGGCAAAAAAGTGAAATTACCTAGACAGTGAATAGAGCAGGGCCATCTAAAGCAGAAAATAGCTGAGACTTGTATGTATTATGTTAACACTTATACGAAAATGTCAAGTTGCCCATCTCCTCAGTACAAATAATTCTGCCATTTCTTGGGTAGCAGTACAGTTGGCTAGGAGATGATTTTTTTAGTAGTTCACAAACACTTGATCTAAATAGTAGAGTGGGGGGAAAACCCAACTTGTTGCCAAAGGTGGGGAAGGGGAGGAGAAGGAAGATGGAAAGACTACAATCCGTGACAGTCTCTAGTGATAGTTGTTGAAAAAGATACTCAGCTGTGAAAGAGGCTGAATCTTTCGTTAAGATTACAATGACAGAGTAAGCAACAGCATTATTTCAACTGCAGCATAGCTGAAGAACTGTGGAAATCTGGTCCCATTTTGCTACTATTTCCAAAACAAATGTTTACTTCTACAAGCAAGGGGCAAGCTCATACAGAAAACAAATCTGCTACATTCAGATCTTTAAAAAGGAGGCAGGTGGTGGTAGTGGGTGATCTGATTACAGATTTCCCTCACTTTATGCGGGTTCTGGATGTGCGAATTCGCTCTTATGCAAGACCCTTTTTATACCAAAAATTTGTTATACGAACGGTAAATTCACTCTTGTGATATTGGTGTGGTGGAAGCCCACAGTCAGCTGCTTTGTGCAGGTGCATTGTAGGAGTGACATGCACCAAAATATAGTCTCCTGTGAGGATCTGTGCTCCTCGCTTGTCTGCAACATGTGTTTCTGTAGTTGCCAGCCCCATTATGGTAGCATTCACCACCACCCTGTGCTTTTGTATACTGTCTGCTACTGGCGAGTACCAAATTGGTCTTGTAAAAGTGGAAGAAATGGGTCTGGGGCGCAGTATAGTCAAGGTCTTGGAGAATATCCTTATTTGTCGCATTGTAAAGTGGGTTCCCTTCATGTGAATTCAAGTTATGCCCCGTTTTCCAGGAATGCATGTACAGCATAAAGCAAGGGAAACCTGTATTAGGCATATGGCAGCTAAATTTGTGATGTCTGGGAGGACTACATGGTAACCAGTGTGCCAGGGGAAAAGGTAGCAGACCTCACATGATACACAGATAGGCTGCTAGGGAGTGCTGGGTTGGAAGTTGGCAATCATGGTTTATGTGGGTACCTATGACATGGGGAATTGTAGAAGAGAGGCCCTAGAAGCTAAATTTAGGCTGAACTCTAGGACCTCCACGATAGCATTCTTTGAAATGCTTCCAGTACCATGTATGGGGCTAGATACACAGGCAGAGCTCCAGAGTCTCAATATGTGGGTGAGATGGTGTAAAGAGGATGAGTTATGTTCATTAAGAACTGGGGCAGCCTGTACAGGAGGGTTGGGTCTCCACCTGAACCAGAATGGCACCAAACTGTTCAAACACAACATCTAAAAGGTGGCAGAGCAGCTGTATGGAACAGTACACGGTTCAGACCAGAGATGTGGGGCAGAAGGTTTTCTGGGAAATTTTCCAGTGCTTTATTTTTCCATGGGAAATTTTCCATTTCTAAAAATTCATTGTTTCATAAAATTCATTAGTAACAATGAATGGATGCCAATACAATATTAGGCAAGCTTGGCAGTTTCAAAGTTGTAATTAATGTTTTTCAAGTGATTATCCCTAGGAAGAATGAGAGAGTACAAATCAACAGAACATATATGTAAAACAGGAGGGAGAGTACATACACTCAAATAATAATGCAAACCTAAAATCAAGGTCTAATTGGCTCTGCAGGTCAAATCAAAACCAAATCTAAAATTCTTATTTCATTTTAGACTACAAGTGAAAGCAAAACCAAAACTAAAAACTGTGATTAATTTTTATTTCACTTTCAGTTCAGCAAACAGAGCAGAACAATGTAATGGAAGTACTGTGTATTGTCTACATTTTTACAAGTATTCCAATAAAGTAATTTATTTCCACATAAGCCTTTGAATTTGTTTGAACATAATATTTAAACCACATTAAAAAGTATGCTGAATTGAATTTTTTTCCTAATCAAATATTTCATTTCAAATACTTGTGGCTATTGGGGCATAAAATTAACATGGGGATGCTTTTTTAGTTTTGTTGCTAAATATATTCTAATATTATAAAAACCTTACTCTGTCTGCCCTTCCATCCATAACACTTTATTTGCACTCTGATTGGCTGACTGAAACAACCAATCAGAGTGCAAATACAACGTTGGGACAGGTGGCAGCAGCACAGCGGAGCACCACCATGATGGCGGGGACACAGGGGACGGAGGCGGCAGCAACAGAGTGGACAGAATGGGGTGGGGGGCAAGGTCAGCAGGTGGTGACAATGGGGGCGGGGGGAGGTGAGGCCACCAGAGCTGGCCTCAGGCCCCCCCCGGCTTCTTGGAGGTGGCGACGACGACGACGACAGCATGGGGGTGGAGCAGGGTTGGGATGCCACAGGGGGAGGAGGGGCCAAGGCACCTGGCACTAGCCTTGGCCTGCCCCTCCTCCCTTTTATCATAGCTGCCTGCAGGGCCAACATAGCAGCAGTGGGGGGGGGAGAAGCGAGATTAAGAGCACGTAGAATTGTTCCCCTGGGCAATGTTAACCAAGTCCTCCACATTTGGAAGCATCTATCCAGTTTAAATTTAGCTACATTTCATAACAGTGTCCTAAAAGTAAAATAATGCTCCAACCCAGTTTTGATCACCAGAAACGTGATTATTTTTATATATTAAAAACTCAAAATCAAACTGGCAGGAACTGTATCAGAGAACATTTGTACAGTTAGCAGCTGGCTACATAACACTTGAGGAAAGTCCAACTAGAAGTAAGGAAATTTGAACTAAAATTAAATACAGTTTAAAAAAAATTAAGATGGATTTTTCAGATTCATGTCATACTTTCTTTTCCTACATGTGAAAAAAAAGAGACTACTGTTCATGCACTGTCTGTTGCTTATAACCAATGCACTGTTTTCTTGTATTCCCCTGTCTATGCACCTCTGTTGTTCCTCTGCCCATGACTAGCGATCCTAGATTGCAAAGCATGCATACAAGGGAAGTTTGGGCCTTAAGTGACAGAAAAGTTCAGCATTACTACATTAAAAGTGAATGCTTTACTTACAACAAACACCGATTCAAGTAAAATATTAACAATAAGCATAGTAAGTGGATACAGCTGCCACAGTGGCAAATTGTTGGACGCATAAAGTAAAAAAGCCTCAACTACCAACAGCTATTTGAAATGCAACTTAATGACTTAAATGAAAGCAGTCATTGAATATGTTTTGATGGCTTTAGTTACAAAGCTCACATTTACCTATTTTTCAACAACAAATGTGTAAAAATTTTAAAAAGCAAACATTTTCAATTACATTTTGCTCCATTCCATTTAATTTAAAAATAAGTTTTATACTGAAGATTTTAATCAATTGCCAAAGATCAGAAATCAGAAACAAGCTTTGGGTTTCTCCAGTTATGCTGTTTTCAAACAACAAATACAAATTTGCCTTTATGAAAATAATTTCTAGCAATGCTAAATGGTTTATTCTGGGTAGCAAAACTCAACCAAATGCTCCTGTGCATCCAATTAATAAAATGTTAAGATTTATCTACGAAACCCTTCTGACACATGCAATTTCCTTTCTGGGCAATTTCCTCTGCTTCCTGCTCCAGAAGTCTCCTCATTATATGCATTGTTTCTATGTACAAAACCCCTTCCTGGAGCATTTCTTGCAAGGATTGTATCATCAGTTACAACCACTGTTGGGAATAGACTTAGTTTCTATTTAAATGAATCCAAAGAGGTATTTAGTTTCTTTAAGAAACCAAAATAATATATTTATCTGGAAAGAAATGCACTATGACTTCTGCCTTCTTGCTATAACCAACAACAATTTTAAATCACAAACTATAAATACCTGAGACTTCGCAATTTAAGTAATAAATATGAAGATATATGCAAATTAGAAGGGTAATTTTCTCCAATTACTGGTAGGAGGGTAAGTATTTGAAAAAATGTATTAGTTCAGAAAGCATAGATAGTGGTCTAACTAGGCGTTTCTAGCCATGGCGCACACATCTTGTACTAAAGAAGAAAGTCCATCAATCGTATAACAGATCTTTGAAAGCTAGATAGCAAAGGTAGCAATTACCATCTTTGCCTCTATGCACTTCAACTGCATTGTGAATATTACATCCCACAGTCAGACCTAGGAACTGGAACTGTAAACTTAGAGAAGGGAACATAAGCACTACAACCTGTTCTAGAAACTAAAATGAGTTAAGGTGGGAGATAAGTAAGGCAGAAGTTACAATGTGCTCCAGCATTCAGGTGTAAGAAACTGTTTTCCTTGGGAATCCAGAGAGGAAAGCTGTCCCAATTGCTAGAGTACAGCCTGGGAGGTAGGAGAGGCCCAGACTGTTTTCTACTTTGCCATAACATAACCTGTATGATGCAAGACACTTAAATCTCTGCCTGTTATCCAAACACACACAAAAATCCACATTTCTAGGTGGTGAGGGATATCTTTATTTTCTGGATAGCAGAATTATAAATATAGAAGTAATACAGTTATCTAAGAGGGATGGTAAATATATCAGTCTACTGCTTAAAATAGTACCATAACAGTTTTTAAATAAAATGTTAATTTCTTGTATAGGGAAACATTGTTATTTTGTTTGTACTGTGAACTCACCAAGTGAAGCCTGAAGACTAAGTTTCAACAAGATTTTCAAAGAAAAACTGGGGAAAATTGATTCATTTCTAGGACAGGTTGTTCACCATGGCCCTATGTGGTGAATGAAGGTGTCTACTAAAAAGCAGTGGAAAAAGATACAGATGTTTCACACAACTAAAAT